GGGGGGGGGACCCGCAACTCAGGAGAGGGCAGAGGTCGGAGTTCCAAGGCCCAGGGAGGCCACCCAGCCCTCCCCCTTCTGTGAAAACGCCTCACCCGCACCCCCGCCTCCCCCAGCGGAGACACTGACAAACAGGAAGTGGCTGCCTGGTGCCGCAGCGCAGCGCTCGCCCCTCCTTTCTGATGGCCGCACCCCCTCCCCCACTCCTGCGCCCCGCCAGCATCCCCCTGCCTCAGACGCACGGCCCCTTCTCCCGAGCCCAGTCCTCGCAGCCCGACGGGCCCCCGGGGCAAAGGGTGACCGTGCGGCGCCGTGTCCCGGGCCCGGCCTCTCCGCCAGGCCCAGGCCCGGCCGCCCCGTGGGCAGGACCCCCTGGCCGGGGCGCTGACTCTCCCTCCCGCAACTTCTCCCCGCCCTGCAGAAGCGCAGCAGAGCCATCACGGCCCGCAGGCAGCACCTGAAGGTAGGTGCGGGCCTGGGGAGGGCCGCCCGGGCGCCTGCGGGCTGGCGTGCCGCGGCCCCTCACCACCGCCTACCCGCCGCCCCCCAAACCCCCAGAGCCTCATGCTCCAGATCGCGGCCACGGAGCTAGAGAAGGAAGAGAGCCGCCGGGAGGCCGAGAAGGAGAGATACCTGGCCGAGCGCTGCCCGCCGCTGCACATCCCCGGCCCCGTGGCCCAGGTGCAGGTACCCAGGCCCCCACCCCGCCCGCCCAGCAGCCCCTGCCCGCCACCCCGTCTCCCCCCCGGTCCAGGGGGCAGGCAGGGTGGCCCGGGCGGCGGGCGGAGGCCGAGCGTGGGGATGACCACCCACCCACCCACGGCGCCCCCCGCCCCGCAGGAGCTCTGCCAACAGCTGCACGCTAAGATCAACGCGGCCGAGGAGGAGAAATATGACATGGAGGTGAAGGTCCAGAAGAGCACCAAGGAGGTGAGGGGCCGGGGAGGCGGGCACGGTACGGCTGGGGGCCCGACCGTGAGGCCCTGGCCCCCGCCACCTCCCGCCCAGCCTTGCTGCCCACCCCGCAGCTGGAGGACATGAACCAGAAGCTGTTCGACCTGAGAGGCAAGTTCAAGCGGCCCCCGCTGAGGAGGGTGCGCATGTCGGCCGACGCCATGCTCAAGGCGCTGCTGGGCTCCAAGCACAAGGTGTGCATGGACCTGAGGGCCAACCTCAAGCAGGTCAAGAAGGAGGAAACCGAGAAGGTAGAGTTGCCACCGCGCGCGCCCCGCCGGCCGGGCCGCCTCGGACCCCGGACGGGTCTGCCGGGAGGGCATGTGGAGGGGAAGTGAGGCTGGAGGTGGTGGGCCCGAGCCGTCTCCCGGCGCCCCCGCAGGAGCGGGACCTGCGTGACGTGGGAGACTGGAGGAAGAACATCGAGGAAAAGTCGGGCATGGAGGGCCGCAAGAAGATGTTCGAGTCCGAGTCCTAGGCCGCCGCCACCCGCTCCCGCCGAGGCCCTCCGAGTCGGGCTCAGCTCCCGTCAATAAAGGATTCCAATCCCCCGACTGCTCTGCTCTGCTGGGGTCCAGCCCTGCCCCAGCCTCTCTGCCCACGGGCCGCCGCCGTGCGAAGGCCTCTGAGACCGGGGACCCTGGGCTGGGGGTGGAGGAGCCACACACGGGCTTCGGGGGACTTCGGCTGGGCTGGGAGGGCCACTGCCGGGGCAGGGACCCCACCCACCCGCCTGCCGCCTGCGGCTGCTTGGTGATGCTGGTGTCAGACCCTGTAAGCTTGGACACAGGCGCCTGGGCCATGTCAGAGCCGCTTCCCTAGATGACCGTTGGTCCATTGTCACCGTCACCATGAAGGTCCCCACAGGGCCCAGAGACCCTGTGCCTGTGGCACAAGTCCAGGCAGGGGCCTCGTGGGCCTGTGTCCCGTGCCCTGTTGGTAGCCCCTTCCTCCCAGGCTGCTCCTCCCCAGACCGCCCCCCCACCCCACCCCCCGCCGCCACCAGGGGGCACGCGGGGCAGCCCTGGATCAGCTGGCCCTCCGGGGAGTCTTGAGCGCATGGGGGAGGGGCAGGCCGGGTGGGGTCCGTGCTCCCACTGGAGACTGATGACAGGCCCAGCTGGCCTGACACCGGGCCCAGTGAGAGGGCTATAGCTTCTCCCCTCTGCACAGCCCCTGGCCCTGGCCCACGCCACACATCAAGGGACGATGTGCCCGACAGGCCCAGACACAAATGTCACAGCAAGGCCGCCGTCAGCCTCCTCTGTGAGGGATGATGCCGTGGCCCGCCAAGGTCCTGCGCTCACATCTTTGGTGGGGAGCCCGGGGAGGCCAGGCTGCCGCCCCTGATGGAGCGGCTGTCCACCCTGCCCTTGCCCTCCGGAGGCCCCAGCGATTGATGTGCCGGGGCCGGAGCCTTGAGCCTGAAGGGACAGACGTCAGCCTGCCCCGCCGGCCTTGGCCAGTGTACTGTTCCCCGCCCCCGCGGCAGCCCAGGGGTCAGCTCCGTCCTGCGAGCAGCTCCCCACAGGCCCTGGCTGGGCTCGTCAGGCCCTCGGGCCCAGGCCTGGTGCCTTGGCTGCCT